GGTCACGGCGAACTGGCGCTCCGCCGCGTTCCAGGCCACCAGGAAGCGCAGCCGGCGCCGCTCGGGAGCAGCGAACAGGTCCTCGCGCAGCGGCACCCATCCCTCCAGGCTGTCGGGCTGCTCGTCCGCCATGGCCGCCCGGACGCGCTCGGGTCGCCGCGCCCAGGTCGCCCTCCCCAGCGCCGGATTGGCCGGGCGAACGGACTGGCTGGATGACAGGAGGGAGGGGCTGTGCCCGCCAATGAAACGACTCGGAGCTGTCCGGGCGGCGCAAGCCTGTAAATCCCCGCACCCAGGTCCCACGTTCGAGTGGGAAACTGAGCGGAATTTGGGGAATGTCCTCAGTAGTACAGTGCCCCTTGGTCAGTCGCGGGTAGCGAGCGGTGGGGGATCCACTTCCAACTCGACCATTGGAAATCAGTCCGCCTAGCAGTTCGGCTGGCGCCTAGCCACTTCTCACTTCTCCTTCCCCACCTTTGCACAGACTGACGCTGGGGAAATATTTGTTAAATGAACGCGTTGCATTTTTAGCCCCCTGCACTAAGCTCTGAACTTCCTGAGAACAGGGACGCGGCTGGCTCCGTCTTCTGTCATCAGGGCCCCACCAAAGACGTGGTTCCTGCCCCGGATAATGTGTGCTGGGGAGATCAAACATTCGGTGCAGCCCAGCAGTTACTTACTGAGGGCTTCGAGGAGCCACGCGCTGGGGACAGCCACGGTTTCCTTTCTGTCGACGCCACAGACTGCACGGCCGTTTTCTCCCGGAGGTCTCTAAGGCGACCCCGGTGGCCTGCGGGCAGGTCTGGAGCAGGAGGCTGCTCTGCATCGCGAGCGCACCGCCTCTGGGCCTTTCCTTCCCATGCTCCCGGCCCTCAGAGCGCCCTCTTTAGCTAAGGTGATCTATTTTCCCCAAACTATTTCTATATATTATTTTAATCTGTTTTAAATATTTTTGCATATTCATCACCATGTTTTTACTGTATTTGCTTTGTATTGTTTTATCCTGTGTAGTCTTTTCCTACTTAATTTGATTTTTCAGAATGAAAGTAGGAGTGCTTTTAATTATAAAAGCAATTTTTTCATTTTGCCAAAAGGGGATAAGTTTGTGTCTTCTTAGAAAAGAAATACACACAAAAAAAGCAAAAAATACACACCAAACTTAACAGTAGTTGTGCCAGGGTGCATAGCTGGTTTGTGTTTCTTTGCGTTATGGTTATTTTGTAGTATTTTCTTCTAAGCCAAATAGCATACATTACTATTATGATAAAAAGAAAATACTTTAAAAGAAAGATAAATATGATTATTACAAAATAGACATTATCAAAAGAATAAAGAAGTAAAATAACTCAAGAGACAAACTGTTCCCGTTTTGTTTGTGTGCATGCAGGCAAATATCCGTGTGTGTGTGTGTGTGTGTGTGTGTGTGTGTGTGTGTGTGTGAATGATGTGGTTGTAGTCCATTCTGGCTGCTGTGGGGATTCCACATCCAGTGAGAGCTCGCTTCCTGCTTTGCTGATAGCTTTCTTTTACTGATTCGTCATAGAACAGAAAGGGACAAGGGAGCCCCATGGGCAGCCTCTATAAGGACACCCATTCCATTCATGAGGGCTGGGCCATCATGACCTACATGTCACAAAGACTGCATCTCCAACTACTCACATTGAGGATTAGCACAACATGAATGTGGCATGATATAAACTGTCTATGGCATATGTATATTTGTATGATAATTCTATTGGGTCCAATTTGACTGGGCCACGGGGGTGCCCAGATATTTATTCCAACATTATTTTGGCTGTGTCTGTGAATGTGTTTCTGGATGAGATTAACATTTAACTCTGTAACCTGTGTGTGGAGGCACACACTTTTCTTCCCAGCATTCTGGAGGCTGAGGCAGGAAGATCACTATGAATTTGAGGCCAGCCTGGGCTACACAGTGAGACCTTATCTCAAAAAAGAATTTTTTTTTACTCTGTAGACTAAGTCAGATTGTTATCTGGTGTGGCTGGGCATCATCCAATCAGTTGAAGGCTCAGAAAGGCTAGAAGAGACTTCCTCCTGCCAGCCTGCCTGCCTCTAAACTGGAAGACCAGGTTTTGTCTTCCACTCACAGAAACACATTGGCTCCTCCTAGACGCTGAGCTTGTCAGCCTTCAGGCTGGAACTGTAGCAGAAAATGACCCCCTCAGTATACTTCATTTTCTGTTAGTTCCCCAGGCAACCTCCAGTTTACTTCAGTGACTGTTACAGTTCTGTTAGTACTGTATCCTAGAAACGACTGGTCACTATGATGCATATTGTAAGAACCAATCAAAGACAGCCAAGTACTCTGCTTCTGTACTTCCTGCTTACATACCCCATAAGAATGCCAGCCCACCACTGTTAAGGGCCTGATATTTTGGGGATGAATCCCTATCAGTGCCTGTCAATGTTAAACAAACCTGCCTCCATATCCTGGGTGATGTTTCAGTGTTCCTGTTTGCCGCTGTAGAACTATACCATCTCATCTCCTGGGCCTTTGGCTTGCTGACTACTGAATGTAGGACTTGTCAGCCTCAGTAATCATGGAGCCAATTCATTATAATTTCTTTCCACATACCTCAACAATGGGAATTTCTACAGATGAATAGAAGTTCTCCATGAGAAAGAGAGAGGATCTAAGCATCTTTCAGGCCCTGAGAGCCAGCAAGCATTATGGCTATTGTCTCCTTAGGAGCAGCTTAGTACCTTCAGCTCCTGCGCTGGCCCCATGGAATGTGGGGAGCAGAGGCCTGCCTGGTGCTCCCTCCCCCAGGATAGACTTCCTGTGAGAGAGACCCAAGCCAAAGAAGGGAGATTTTAATATTAGCTAAACCACGTTTGGCTTTTAGATTTAATACAGTGAGCTAGGCATTCATTTACTGGATCTGAGACTGTGATTTGAGGTGAGGCAGGAGATTAGATTGTGGTAAAGCAGCTGGGCAATTGAGCATGACCTGTCAATCAGGAAGACCTGTCAATCACAGAGAATCAGGACACTTGGGCAGAACACCATCTGAGCCCTGCACCTAACGTGCACCCATCAGAAAACACTGTCTTCAGTTCTTTTGGCATGAGATCAAGCAGGGTTTTGATAGGACAGCCTAGAGTGATGTCAGAACGGGTTTGGAGGAGGTGGTCTATGAAAGCCAGCTTCTATTACTCTCATGGCTGCTGTGAGCCTTTTCAGCACCCCCGCATGCTACAGGGTATACTTCTTTTCTTACTTTAACTGGCTTGCCCTCACTCTGCAGAACACCTAGTTTTTAGAGCACTTCTCCCCTTTTTTCTCCCTACTTTTACCTTTACTAAGTGTAAAACCTCTAAATTCTTTGCTTGTCTTAAGTTCTTTGAACATGACAACAAGAACCTTGGGTATCCTGCTACCCAGTTAACAGAGGGTCATAGGACCTACTGATTTTGATCCAGAGGGAATAATTGCTACCTAGAGCACACTTGAAAGGAACGATGGGAGGGAAAAAAGAAGTTGCACTGAAAACCCCAGAGTTGGGCTTGCTGCAGCAGCCCTGCCCCACTCCACATGGTTGTCCAGCCCCAAGTCTGCATCCCCCACACTATAAAGGAAGAAACTCAGGGCACGGCATGTGATTTCTCTTGGTGACACTTGAGTGCTGAGAAGTCGCAAGACAGCCCTGGCAGGTCTATATTTGGACTTGTACTCCTGGCAGGCCTGTTGCTATTTGTGACCAGAGGCAGCTTGTGTTACCACCATCCAGCTTTGGTGTCCCACTGACAGAGCCCAGCTGTATAAGGAGCAGGGTGGCCTGCAGGGGCATGCAGAGGTCACCAGGGAGGAAATCTGCTGAGCAGGGACTTGATTTTCTAATGGAATTCCAGATCTGAATTAAGAAGCGTCTGTAGACCCTTCAATCAGCAGGCAAGTTTTTGGATAGTCATGTTCTTCTCATGAAAATTGTATTATGATAAACTCTTAGGTTGCTGCTACTATGTTAATGCAAAACCTTTCCTTAGATGGGAAAAGATATCATGGTGAATTGCAGGTGTTTAAATGACACCTAACAGCGTAGATGTTTTCTGTGCCTTCATGAGCAAGGATGTACTTTTACTGAGCAGGGAATGATGCCAGGTACCGAAGTTACTCCTAAAAGTCAAGAGAGGCTGGTGGTCTTTATCATGTGTGTATAGGATACATTCAGTGCCAGGACTTTGCGATGGAATGGTTTGGAATTCTGGTTGTTGATATCATCTGGATGGAGTATTGGGTTGATACATACTTTAATCTATACGCATATGCCTATAAGTCATCACGCTTTGATTCAAACACTGAAAATCAGCTTGTTCTGCAGGCAGCCTACTCCTGCCAAACGTTGCCAGGTCTGGACGTGCCTATATGGCTGATTGGACCCTTTTGCTTTTCTCTACAGCTAACATCATAAAGCAGGTTTTCTTTAGCTGTAGCTGAGGAATTACAAAGGGCTGCGTGGCTGAGTTTCTACAATTATGTCCCTCTCTGTCACAGGTTTCAGTAGCTTCTAAACAGTGCCATGACCCCCTAGAAGGTAAAAAAGCATTCTGAAGGAGATGTTTCTAATGAAAACGCAGGAATGCGTCTGCCGTGTGAGACCGAGCAAACATCTTTCTTGTTGTCATTAACAACTGCGTGGTGTAGAGGCAAAGCAGTCCATGCAGTATTTCATTGCAGATAGCGATCTGTTACTTCATGAAGCCTACCTTTCGTACTTCATAAAATGACAAATCCATTCTTGGTGTTCCTTTCTTCCCAAATTCTGATTCTGTTAAGAAACTGAAAGAGCGTAGGTGTTGAAGAGAAGCAGGACGAGAAGTGTACATGTGAGCTGTAGGCTGTGTTACACAATCCTGCTTTGGTGCTAGGCACGCAGACAAGTCTGTGTTTGTGCTTTCAAAGGGCAAACATGGGCGAATGCAGGCACATGTGGGCACACGTGTGTCCTGGAGCTCATGTGCCTGGGGTTTCACCTCCTCTTTGTTGGGGTCTTCCCCAGAGGTTGCTGGGTGGTTTGCTTTCCAGCCTTTGCCGGAAGGCTTTATCGCAATGGTGTGGCGGAATATAGAATTTTGGTTCACTCTCTTTTAGTAGCACATGGAAGTGTAAGTGTGATTTTTCTGTGGGCGCATGATTTAGCAAAACCCTGGGTTTGGATCCAAGCTCTTCTTTTGACTGGTTGTGTGGGCAGCACCCAGCCCAGGGCTAGAAGCAGAGTGGGTGTGGAGATCCTTGTCGGATGGGCAAGCCCCCGGCCCTCACAGGAACTCAGCTTTGCTGTCTAGAACTCAGAATGCCAGTCTCTGCCTCGGGCTCCTAGAAGCTCCTGCCGTGGGGAGAGCCAGGTCCTGAAGCTGTGCGTATGCCTGATACAAGGCTGTCGTGTTTCAGTGCTTTCTCCTATCCTCAGCTGTTCTCAGGGGGCAGATGTTCCCACAACAGCCACAGATGATTACACACTGCTGCCCCCGCCATGAGCTGTGTCTTCCTGGTCCTTGGCTTTCATGGCAGACCAGGCAGGAGGCTTCTGATCTAGTCCAGGTAGGTGATACCCATTCCAATAGTGGTAAAGATAGACCAATAAGAGCAGCAGGTAACATTTGTGGGGAACTTGCTGTGAGCCATGTACTATGCTAAGCATTTTACATACTTATCTCGTTGAAAGGCCAACCTTGGGAGCTCGACACTGTGAGCAAGCCTGCTGTCTGGTCCACAGAGGTAAGGCCTGCGGGGATGACTTCCCTG